GGCCCTACACTCGCTTTCGTGGAAGTTTTTTATTATTAATTTTAAAACTTTATTTGTTAAGTTTTGTTAATCAGTTTTATAAAGTCTGTAACATACAGTCAATGTGTATCTAAAGTCGATTTAGTATATTTCTTCAGTTATTCTCCATATTTCCAAACTAGCACGTCAAGTTTCTGGACAAACTTTAAACATTTAGATCAAGTTTGCCTGTATACAATGTTTTTATTATTATTATTATTATTTTTTTTTAGCTCAGGACAGTTTTCATCACAACTCATGTGCAGGAGATCTTTTGGTTTTATGCCTCATATATATGAAATGAATGAGCAGTATCTAATTTAATCAGCTTCAATCTGTATAGTAGTAAAGAGGCTGAATAAGCTGCTTTGAGAATTTCAATTCTGATTTAATAAATATACCAAAGTGAAAATCTGTAATGCAGTACAGTATAATAGATATTGTATTACAAAATTCAGAAATGAACTCAACATCCTACCGTTTACTACATACAGTAGCATACAAGTTCATACTGTCATGCATTTACACAAAACTGAAATTCATTCCTTTAAGCTGAATTTAAGGTGATGTTTTATTTATGATGAAATGACATGGCAACTTAATTATTTACTAATAGGAGCTGTCAAAACACAAGAAGCATGACAAACACATCCATGCATGTTAAATTTACAAAACTAAACCTCACATAGTCACTTCATAATTGTTATCATTCAATAATAAGGCTAAATGATATTTCATTTATAAAATGTGAACAAAACAATCCTTAGTTATTACATATTATTTCTCTTTTTAGGTCGAGATATTGGTGATAGGACTGAACACCTGTCATTGGAGGAACTAAGCACCAGTGGTTGTCCAGTCCATGTTGACGACCACAGTGATGTCCTCCAATCTCCCATCACTGCACCGACCCTCCAAACTCCAGACCATGCTGCAGCTCAAAGTGTTGACGACGTCCCTACAGCCTGTGCCACGTCCGACTGTAGTGAGGATGATGTCCTTCAAGCTGCAGTGCCTTTGCTAGCTGACTTGTGTGCACGTGTTCTTCAGGACACTGAGCCACAGTCATGCCAGCAGCAGGATATGGAGAAAACTGTGACTGGTCAGTTTGTTCACTTCCACATTGAGTAATTCAATGAACATGCACAGATTAGACGGCAGTTTAACAGCAGTGTAATAATAAGTTTGTGAGAAAAATGGCAAAACCTAAAAGTGCTTCTCTGTTTTGTCAATTGTGAATAATAACAGATTAAAACATTTGAATAAATGCCAGCCTGATTAAAATAATTAAAGAACTGGAAACACTTTACTTTAATGTTTGATTAGTTAATGTCATTTAATGTATTTGCTAACTAGAATTAAGAATGAAAATATCTTGAACAGCATTTGCTGTGAACAATGACAAATACTTACATTTCTTACCCATATTCAAAAAAGAGCAAGACAAACAGTTAGAAAAGACAATCAGCTAAAAATGATTGTACAAAATTAAGGAGCACTCTGAATATTTATTGATTTCCTTCATTGACAGAGATGTGTTTGTCAGTGCAATGTTTCAGTATTCAGAACACGACTGAGCATTTACATCCAGCAGTGTCACTTTTTCAGTGTATGTTTGTTTGACTGCGTTTTACATTTATAATGGTGGGCTGCGAGACCCCAAGTAGTCACTTCAAAATGTACAGCTTGCAATAATATGGCAAATTAATCTTACAATTATCAAATGTGAATAAAACAATCCTTAGTTATTACATATTATTTCTCTTTTTAGGTCGAGAAATTGATGATTGGACTGAATACCTGTCATCGGAGGAACCAAGCACCAGTGGCTGTCCAGTCCATGTTGACGACCACAGTGTTGTCCTCTATTCTCCCGACTGCAGTGAGGATGATGTCCTTCAAGCTGCAGTGCCTTTGCTAGCTAACTTGTGTGCACGTGTTCTTCGGGACACTGAGCCACAGTCATGCCAGCTACAGAATTTGGAGAAAACAGTGATCGGTCAGTTTGCTAATTCACCATTAAGTAATTCAATGAACATGCACAGATTAGACGGCAGTTTAACAGCAGTGTAATAATAAGTTTGTGAGAAAAATGGCAAAACTTAGAAGTGCTTTTCTGTTATGTCAATTGCGAATGATAACAAATTAAAACATTTGAATAAATGCCAGCCTGATTAAAATAATTAAAGAACTGGAAACACTTTACTTTAATGTTTGATTAGTTGATGTTATTTAATGTATTTGCTAACTAGAATTAAGAATGAAAATATCTTGAACAGCATTTGCTGTGAACAATGACAAATACTTACATTTCTTACCCATATTCAAAAAAGAGCAAGACAAACAGTTAGAAAAGACAATCAGCTAAAAATGATTGTACAAAATTAAGGAGCACTCTGAATATTTATTGATTTCCTTCATTGACAGAGATGTGTTTGTCAGTGCAATATTTCAGTATTCAGAACACGACTGAGCATTTACATCCAGCAGTGTCACTTTTTCAGTGTATGTTTGTTTGACTGGGTTTTACATTTATAATGGTGGGCTGCGAGACCCCAAGTAGTCACTTCAAAATGTACAGCTTGCATTAATATGGCTAATTAATCTTACAATTATCAAATGTGAATAAAACAATCCTTAGTTATTACATATTATTTCTCTTTTTAGGTCGAGAAATTGATGATTGGACTGAATACCTGTCATTGGAGGAACCAAGCACCAGTGGCTGTCCAGTCCATGTTGACGACCACAGTGTTGTCCTCTATTCTCCCGACTGTAGTGAGGATGATGTCCTTCAAGCTGCAGTGCCTTTGCTAGCTAACTTGTGTGCACGTGTTCTTCGGGACACTGAGCCACAGTCATGCCAGCTACAGAATTTGGAGAAAACAGTGATCGGTCAGTTTGCTAATTCACCATTAAGTAATTCAATGAACATGCACAGATTAGACGGCAATTTAATATTAGTGTATCAATAAATGGTTTGATTCATTTACGCTTCAGTTAGGGAGAAATGTTTAAAATAGCTTCTTTTTTATTATTATTATTTTATTTAGGAAAATCAAACATTTAAAACTGATTTAATAAATGCCTGCTTAGTTTCAAAATTGGAAACACTTCACAATAATGTTCCAATAGTTCATGTTAGTTAATGTATTTATGAAATAAGAATTAAAAATACTTGCACAGCATCAACATTTACTAATGTATTATTAAAATCTAAGGTTATTTATTTAAAGAGATGGTCCACCAAAATTATAATCTTCTATCATTTATTCACTCTTGACTTGTTCCAAACCATGTTTTGCTGTTTTGTTGAACAGAAAAGAAGATATATTGAAGAATGTTGAAAGCCTGTAACCATTGACATCCATAGTAGAAAAAAAAATACTATTAAAGTCAATGGTTACAGGTTTCAACATTCTCTGAAGCATCTTCTTTTCTGTTAAAAAATCAAACAATAAAAAACTCTGAATTGTTTGGAATAAATCAAGGGTCAGTAAATGATGACGGAATTTACGGCTGTATTTTCTGTACTACTGTACTACTATAGTTAAAGTAAGAATTATTAGCCCCTCTGAATTATTAACCCCTCTGATTACTTGTTTTCCCAATTTCTGCTTAACAAAGAGCAGATTTTTTTCAACACATTTCTAAACATAAAAGTTTTAATAACTAATTTCTAATAACTGATTTATTTTATCTTTGCCATGATGACAGTAAATAATATTTAACTAGATATTTTTCAAGATACTTCTATACAGCTTAAAGTTACATTTGAAGGCTTAACTAGGTTAATTAGGTTTACTAGGCAGGTAGGTTAGGGTAGTTAACCAAGTTATTGTATAACGATGGTTTGTTCTGTGGACTATCGAAAAAACAAAGAAGCTTAAAGGGGCTAATAATTTTGTCCCTAAAATGGTGATCAAAAAATTAAAAACTGCTTTTATTCTAGCCAAAATAAAACAAATAAGACTTTCTCTAGAAGAAAAAATATTATCAGACATACTGTGAAAATTTCCTTGCTCTGTTAAACATAATTTGGGAAATATTTAAAAAAGAAAAAAAATCAAAGGGGGGCTAATAATTCTGACTTCAGAATTCTGACATTTTGGGGCTACAACACCCCAAATAGTCACTTCAAAATGTACAGCACACTTTAACATGGCTAATTAACATTTCATTAAAAAAAGTTAAATAAAACAATCCTTAGTTATTACATATTTTTCTCTTTTTAGGTCGAGATATTGATGATAGGACTGAATACCTGTTATCGGAGGAACTAAGCACCAGTGGTTGTCCAGTCCATGTTGACGACCACAGTGATGTCCTCCAATCTCCCAGCACTGAACTGACCCTCCAAACTCCAGACCATGCTGCAGCTCAAAGTGTTGACGACGTCCCTACAGCCTGTGCCACGTCCGACTGTAGTGAGGATGATGTCCTTCAAGCTGCAGTGCCATCAGTTCCTCAGGAGAAGGAGAAAATAATTTTCGGTAAGTTTGCTACCTTGACACTCATTCAGTAATTCAGTGAACATTTACAGGTTTACTTCAGTTTAGTAGGGTGTAAGGATAAATAGTTCTGTTCAATTTTATTACAGTTTGAAATAAAAAAAACAAGCAAAACTTAAAAAATGCTTGTGATTTTTGTTTACCGTTTATTACTATTAAAAAAGTAAAAGTTAGAGGACTAATAACGTGACAAAAGGTGAATTCTACATAAATCAATATACAAATAAATTAGAATATATATTAGGATTTTTCAGTCATTAAAAAAAATGGACAATAATTATTAAACCTTTGCTGCATGAATAAAAATAAAACTAAAAACTCTGCCAAATGTTATCTGACAGAAGAAAACACCAGTAACATTTACGTTTCTAATGAAACATTTTTCACCTGTATTCAGAAAATGCTGAATTCTGGAACACTGTGAATATTTGGGAAGTTGTTGTACTCACTCTTGTTCATTCATGCACACAGATGTGTTTGTCAGTGCAGTGTTGCAGAAGAGCACTACTGAGCATTTACATCCAGCAGTGTCACTTTTCCCCTCAAATGTCTTTTTGTCCATATTTTGTACACACTGACTGAACTTAAAATCCCGTACCGAAATGGTTAGGTGCGAATAGTTAGACCCCTACAGTTTAGTGGGCTGTGCTTCAGACTGACTTCAATATACAGATTGTTTAAATGTTGTTGATAACTAATATTCAGCTAATTTGTCTTTAGAAAATAAAAAGTAGCTCTTAATTGGATTTAGTAGTAGTAAGTGCTGTCACATTTTATTCCCTCATCTCTGATTTCTCTTTAACAGTCATCAATTCACGCCAATATGAAGTTGGTGATGAGCTCGGTGAAGGAGGTTTTGGAACCGTCTATGCAGCGACTCGTTTGGATGATGGACTTCAGGTATGGATCTGAACAGCAATATTAATCTAGCCAATCATTTTTGTCCTGTTATTCTGGTCTCACCATTGCCTTTGCTCATAATTCTAACACATCCACTCTTTTGTTTTGTTGATCAGGTTGCAGTGAAATACTGCTCGATGTTCGACACAACGTTCATCCGCATTGTAAGAAAACTCTGTTTCTCCTCTGTTCCACAATTTTACATTTCAAACACGTCATGCTAACATTAAAGGATGAGTTCACCCATAAATAAAGTTATGTTATTAATTACTTTCCCTCATGTCATTCCAACCCCCCGAGACCTTCATTCATCTTCAGAACACAAGTTTAAATATTTTAGATTAAATCCTAGATCATCTCTACATACAAAGCTTCAAGAACACTTTTAAGACTAAAAAACAAAGGTTTTGGTTCCTTTTCTGGACTTTGAGCATCTCATTGCTATTGATGAAGGATGAGGGATTTGTGTTGCTAAGATGAAAGAAGCTGTCAGAGTATTGAAACAACATGACGGTTTTTAATAACATAATTGGGTGAATTAATTCTTTAATCACAGACAGCAAATGATATTTTAGTAGACAATCGACTGATTTCAATTCTTTTACCACTGATTCATCATAAAAACCTTCTTTCTTCTAGGATGGTTTTGCTCAACCACTTCCAATAGAAATTGTGCTTCAAACCCTTGTGAATCAAGGCCCAAGGGTTCCTGAAATTATTGAGCTTCTGGACTGGAAGGTGGAACGTGACTTCTACTGCATGGTCCTGGAACGGCCCATACCCTGTCAGCCCTTGAACAACTTCATAGAAAGCTATGTTGGGCCCATTGATGAAGATGACATACGGTTCATCATGAAACAGGTCGTATTCGCAGCTCAAGCTTGCTGCCAAAGAAAAGTGTTACACCGAGATATCAAGCTGGAGAACCTTCTGATCAACCCGGACACCCTTGAGGTCAAATTGATTGACTTCGGGTGCGGGGATATCCTCGAAGATGAGGCTTACACAGACTATTCTGGTACGTATAATCCCTTTAAACTGTGGTCATGACTTGAGCTCTCATGAAGTAATTCACTGTTGTGAATCAACAGAATTCTTGCTTAGTAATGAATATTCAATTAAACATGCCTTGTTAACTGAAACAAAATCTCTTTCCTCCAGGCACAGCGGAGTATCGTCCTCCTGAGTTTCTGGAGACTGGCAAATACCACGGAGAACCAGCGACAGTGTGGTCTCTCGGAATAGTCTTGTTTGTAATGCTTTTCTGGAAGTTTCCAACAAGACGAGAACTGAATACGATCATGAATAAAGACATAGAAGGCCTGTCAGAAGGTGAGATCTTCATTTCAGCACAGAACAGTTGTAATTTGAATTACCAAAAAATCAATTTCAAGGTGATCATGTCTCTCTCTTCTTTCTGCACAGAATGCTGCGATTTTATGCGCTGTTGTCTCAAGATAGACCCCAGAGAGCGGATTAAACTGGAGCGACTCAACCGCCACAGCTGGATTAAGGTAAATACATGTTAATGAGTTTAATATTTTTGATTTGATAAGTTAGTAGACAATACGCATTAGATTTACAGTTTTATGTAAAGCTGTATAGTCAGTCCTAATACACTATTTTATATTCATTCTTCATGTTCTTTAATGTCCACTTTCTTTACTTTAGGCATGTTGCCTATATTTGTTTTATGCAGGTTGTGTGATGACACTAAATATGATTTCTGTTTCTGTTTCAGACCAACGAAGAGAAGAAGAGCAGCGAAATAATGGGTCAGTTTGGTAGTTAACCCAGCACACGCATGCACACACACACTTTTATGGCAATGTCTTTATTAATGTCAATATTTAATCAGCACTCAAATGTTTTATGTGTTTTGTTTAATAATAGATGATAAATAGCACAACGGTTTTTCCACATTAGACAAGATTTCATTGTTCATTTGTTTATGTGTGTGTGTTGAATATGTATATTTTACATGAAGCATAAATATTTCTATAACTACTACAGTTCATTTAAACTGTCTTGTTTTGTGTGAATTTAAGTACAAATATTGAGTGCGTATATGAATCAGACAATAGTCTTGGATTAAATAAACTCTCTACTGATTGACATTTTATATCAACATCTTTGATTTTTCTTTTGACAGTCATCAACTCATCCTCTTATGAACTTGGCATTCTGCTGGGTAAAGGAGGCTTTGGACTTGTTCAAGCTGCAACCCGACTAGAGGATGGCCTTCAGGTATCGTCAATTTTCATCAATTATTATCTTTATCACCGCTTTAAATCAGAGTATAAAAAAATAATAGATAGATATATGATTCTTATTTTTGGGATAAATTAAACTGCTTCTTTGTTAAACTGTTCAGTGTTAATGACTGAAAATCAGCCTGATCTCAAGAGAAAACTGAACTATTTTACCTTTTGTCTAATTGGTATGAATTTATGAGTTCATTCGTATGAAAATGTATGATTTTTAAAAGGATGTGTGGCACCAAACTCCAGCCCTAAACCAAAATGTCAACCTGGATAAGCAAATCACAAGAATGAGATTGTACAAATTCATACGAATCAGCCACTAAATCAAAAAGTGACAAATTGCCATGAGATAGCATTGGACAAATGTGAACTCTGAACACAATAATTGTGTATAATTCTATAACACATGCTTTCTTTGTTCTGTTGAGCAGGTGGCAATTAAAACTGCCTACACCGAGAACGTCAAGTTCATCGACATTGTAAGTATGCTGTGCTCTTCAACTCTCATTCACTGTTTCACTTTAAGTATCTATAAATCAATAGACAAACTGTAATTGTCATCATGTTTTACACAATATCCATCCAATCATCATAACAAATATATTTCTTCCAGCACGGCTACTCGGAATCCCTTCCAATGGAGGTTGCTCTTTTAGTTCTTGCAAACCAAGAGCCCGCAATACAGGAAATAATTAAGCTTTTGGACTGGCGCGTGGATGAGGACGAATACATCATGGTCCTAGAGCGGCCCATGCCCTCTGAAGAGCTGCTCTCCTTTCTCCTGCGCCAAGAGTCGATCATCGATGAGGATGGGGCACGGTTGATCATGTGGCAGGTAATATTTGCAGCTCAAACGTGCTGCAGACGCAAAGTCTTTCATCGCGATATCAAGATGGAGAACATCCTGATCAACCCGGACACCCTCGAAATCAAATTGATCGACTTTGGATGCGGGGAAATCCTCACCGATGCTCCTTACACAAGTTTTGCTGGTATGTATGATCCCTTAAACTGTGAAGTGAGTCTCAAACTGTAGTGATGAGTTCACAATAGACTCTGAGTGAGTCAAGCTCTCACATAGCATCATAGAATGGAGTCCACTAATCGATTAATACTGTCGATCTGGTGACTAATGACTAATGGTTAAAACCTCTCTCATTCAGGCACAGATGACTATGTCCCACCTGAGTATCGGATAACTGGCGAGTACCACGGTAAAACAACGACAGTGTGGTCTCTTGGGCTACTCCTTTATGTGATGATGTGTGGAGATTTTCCAAATCGACACGACCTGCAAATGATCAGACGTAACATCTGGACCAAAGATCACTTGACAAAAGGTAAAATCTCTATTTGGGTCAAGGAAAGAGGTCAATCTGAATAATACAAACTATTATTTATTAATTAAGTTGTGCAGTAAATCTGAGCTCTCTCTCTTCTTTCTGCACAGAATGCTGTGATTTGATCCGCTGCTGTCTCCAGATCGAGCCAGAGCAGCGAATTGAACTTGAGAAACTGAGTCTCCATGACTGGTTTAGGGTATTATTTACATTCTGAACATTCTTTAATATTTGCACCTTTTTTTTTATCTTCCTAAATTTTCATAATTGTTTAAAAATCTTTTTTAGATATTCTTTGGTTAATAATGCATTAAATAGCAGACCTCAATTTTGTTTTTGTTTCAGCCTGAAGACGTGGAAAGACCTGCACCCGAGAACCGCATCGTCCATCAGCAGTCAGAGGATCCCTCATTTTTTAATATTCCCTTCTTTTTACTTGTTAGTTTTTTCTTTAGACATTATTGTATATTTTAGTATGACTGATGATAGTAGTTAAAAAAAACATAAACACTAAAAAAAGGAAGTTGTAGCCAGCCATGACAGCAACCCTGTGCCACCTCAAGACCAGAAATCTTCAAGACCCCAGACTCAGGGACCGACTGATTCATCAGCTGTTACGGCATCCCCATTTTCTATTGTATTTTTTATTAATTTATTTTATCAATAAATATTTTGTTATTTTGTGGAAATACTAATAGTAGTTGTGCAATAAAAAATAAAAACATTGTTCGGCGACCATGTAAGCAACCCAGTGCCGAATGAAGAAATGCTATGTGAAACACACCATAGTGATGTGCAGAGCTCTCAACCACTGCAAGACGAATGCACAATATGCACATCAACCATGTACATGGTACATGCTGAACTGTACATACAAATTACCGACATTTTTTAAATATAAAGTGAACAGGAAGTGTTTGTGGAACAACAGTGTTGCAACGGAACATAAAAGATCTTTGCCAGGGAACGCAAAACTATTGCGAGGGAAAACAAAACCCTGGGAGGTAACGCAAAAACTTAAAAATAGATATTTACCTCATTTTCCTCCCACTGAGTTTTTTTTTCCCACCATCATGTCCCTTCTGGGTCTCAGTAAAATAGAAGGTACCAAACTGTATGTTTAATGTTCACTGTAATGTGATGTTTACTGTTGTATTGTATGTACATTTTCTTTTTGTTCAATAAAAAATATTGCACTCAGAAATGGCATCTCCATTTTTTTCATTTCACTTCATTTTTTACTACTTTAGTCTTAAACTTTACAAAATTACTAATGACAGTAATGCTATAAAAATAAATAAAATAATAAAAGGAAAAAAAGTTGTACGATGGCCATAATAGTAACCCAGTGCTAAGTTAAATTCATCATTGTTTTAAATGTATACATTATATGAATTATTTTATTGTATATATTATTTAGAAATAATATATTAAATTAAAGCATATATTAGTGGTGCACGGCATTTACCCACCAGTCAACCTCAAACAATTTACCCAACAAGTTTCTTTTAATTCACCCAACTTTTAATTTCAGCATTAGTACAGTCCGCTAAATCAATAAGCTGACAATAAGACCTTGAAAATAGTGCCTTTTCAAAAATTTTATTCAGAAGAAAATTCTCCCTTACCAACTTCGATGGTAGGCAGAGAAAATATAGAAATAAAGAAACAGCTTTGGTTTGAAAATAACAGAAAAGATGTGAAGGTGGCAGATCTAATTCAGAAGAAAACATTGCATTGGTGCAGAATATACAATCCTTAAACAAATCTCTGAAATATAGTAAACCTACAGTATCTCTTGCCACACCATAAAGCATGGTCAGTGACTGATAGAGGAAACAAGTAATTCATGGATAGTGGCATTAATGAAGAGGCGGATTTAGCTTAAAACGGGACCTAAATTGAGACCAAATCCTAAGTGTTGATAAGACAATTACATTATCTGTAAACTTGGAGCCATTAATAGGTAAAGCGGCAGTAAGTAAGGCCTGTAAAGGAGTGGGAAGACATGATTTTGCCTCTAATTTGCATCTGGAAGCATTAGATGAGTTAAACCAAAACATAATCTTATGAATGTTAGCTGACCAGAAGTAAAACTTAAAGTTGGGTAGAGATAACCCCACACAGTTTACAATTTTCACGTAATAGTTTAAGAATACTAAGAATACTTTACCATGCCACAGAAAGGGTGTAACAATTTGGTCAATAGACTTAAAAAAGCTATTTGGCAAAAACAACGGAATACGCTAAAATAAAAATATTAATTTAGGGAGAATATTCATTTTGACTGTGTTAATTCTTCCAATTAAGGAAGAAATGAAGATTGTGCCACCTTTGGGGGTCAGATTTAGATTGAGCCAAAAAAGGAGAATAATTAGTGGAGAAGAGAGATGAAAGAGATCTGGTTTTAAACATCTTGGGATAAATGTTATACCAGATTTACACAGCCTAAATGAAACATTAGAGTCTTTAAGTTGCAATGCCAAAGAATTAAAAGGGTAACTCTCACTCTTCTGAAAATTAATTTTACAACCAGAACATGAGCAAATTTTGTTAAGAAAGGAAATGATAGAAGAAATGGCAGTGATCGGGTTACAGACATAATACCAAAAGTCATCGGCATAAAGTGATAATTCAGTTGCAATATCAGAACGGGAGATTCCTTCAAATGAAACAGATGAACGTCAGGCAATTGACAGTGGCTCAACAGCCAGGGCAAATATTAGAGAGGAGAGTGGGCATCCCTGCTGTGTACCCCGGCTTAATTTAAAGTATTGTGAATGCATACCATCTGTGGGTATGCTGGCCTGGGGTGAGCATATAAGAGATGAATCCATAAAATAAAATTATTCACAAGCCCAATTTTTTTAAATACAGCAAAGAGATAAGACCATTCATCTAAAAGATGCTTTTTCAGCATCAAGAGCAATTACAACCTCAGTGACAACAGAGAAATGGTAGGAATATATATATATAAAAGAGTATGAACATTAAAGAACACATGTCTCCTATACATAAAACCTTTTTGCAATTCAGATATACATATGGAAGTATCTTTACAACATGAATAGCCAACATTTTAGCATCAGCATTTATTAATGAAAAGGGCCTATAGGAGTTACAAGAGGTGGGATCTTTTTCCTTTTTTAAAAGTAATACTATGAAAGCTTGAGTCATCGTTTAAGACAAGAAGCCACGTTTTAATGACACTACAAAAATAGTTATAAACGCATAGAATTTAGGAAGGTGAGTGGGTTATGGTCACAATCTACAACAATCGGATGACAGTTTGACAAATAACTCTCGAAATGTTGAATAGCAAGAACCATTGCTAAAGCCTCTTTTTCAATAGCAGAATACATCCGTGGTGCAGATGTAAACCTCTTTCAAAAGTAACAAACTGTGTATTCCACTTTATCAGCAACCCTTTGCTGCAGAACAGCTCCTGCATCGCTTGCATCCACCGCTAGACTAAATGGCTTCAAATGAACAGAGACAGCCAACACTGGAGCTGAAATCAGTAAGGATTTAATATTCTCAAATGCATACTGGCATGCATCGGACCACTCAAACTCAATCGTCAGACTTAGGTGGTCAGTTAAAAGAGAAACAACCATGACAAATTTCATACAAAACGAATGGTAGTTACCTACCTTACCTAAAAAACAACATATTTGCTTATGAGGAAAAATCACAAAAAACCCATAACCTTAGCAGCAAGTGGGCACATTTCACCACCACCAGTTACTTTACCCAAATAGACAAGAGCGGCTTTACCAAATTCCCATTTGGCCAAGTTCAAAGTAAGCTTAGCCTCTGCCAGTTAAATTATGTGTTCCAGCCATGTGGAGCTGTATAAAACCACATCATCCAAGTACGCTTCGGGATTGGGAACACCAGCCAACACTGTGAAAAGATCTTGGAGCATTTTTCATCCTGAACGCCATCACCCTATAATTAAGAGAAAAGCATCAGGGGTGATAAATGCTGATATTTCTTTTGCACGTTCAGTTAACGCCACCCACCAGTATCTCTTAAACAGGTCGACTTTTGAAACGTACACAGAACCTACACAATCCACACAATCATCTATTCTTGGCAAAGGATAGAAGTCATTATTGTTCCAGCATTTACCAGTCGATAATCTGTGCAAAATCTAAATGTGCCATGAGATTTTTCTACCAGCAAGCACGGCAAACTCCACAGACTGTTAATGGACTCAGCGATGTGATTTCCCAACATCTAATCAACTTCCTTTTGTAAAAATGACCATTTAAGTGGATTAACACAATATAAATGTTGCTTTATCGCCTGGGTAAAATCAACATCAATATCATGCTCAATAATTGACATTATATCAGAAATGTCACTGAACAACATTGGAAAACTTCTCACTAATCCAATGACGTCAGTTTTCTTGGTAGCTGGCTCGTCAAAGTTGTGAGCATCTTAGAATTGCTTAACCTACCCTCAACTGTATGTCGCTGTTACGTAAAGAGGCATAACCTGTTGGTGGTACGGAAGGAACATTTTGCCAGTAATAATGTCCTCACCTCTTTAATTAATAAAAAAAACAAATAAATAAATAAAACACCTTACGGTAAGAATGTAATAAAGGAAAAACTTGCTCTTAATTATTGTTCATAATCTGATTCGTACATGCAATAAACCTGCACTGCACCGACAATTTAGATGCAAGTTACTGACTTAGACCAGTAATATACTTTTTATAGCTATAATAATAGGCTATGCACACTTTCGCTATTACTGACTTTATTAATGAAGGTTAGCAACAACACTGTTTATTTACGCAGACACGGATCGTGGCTTCAGTGCCAAACGAGTGGTTTAAATTATATTTTATTCTCCTTATTTCTTTCTGTTTTTTTCTAAATAACATAAATGTTTAAAGTTTTAGGAAAATATGTCAAACTATGCCTACACCAGCAAGCAAACCCACTTTTTATATAACAGGTAAATAAATCATAACCGAGTCATCATGCTTCATTTTCACACCAATATCAGCGTTAGGAAAAAGGTAAATGTTACAATTTAATGTCATCTAAAAAATAGTAGCTAAATGTGTTACTTAGTTACATTTTAAGGCATTGGTGTAGCAAAACAGAGATGTCCGGAGTGCCTGTTTTGTCTTGTAGGTTTGTTTTGTTTAGGTTGTCCACGTGTATTTATTATGGTCACATGTTATGACGGTACTCAGCTGTTTTGATTCAGCTCAGCTCGCCAGTTGAAGTTTATTATCGTGTCCTATCGGGGCAACGCTTCTATGTTTCCTTCTCATTTCGTTGCGTTTGCTCATGTGTGTCTGTCTGTGCTCAAGACTGTGTGCAGGTCCTTCTCAATATCTTTATTATCACGTGACAAGAGAACTCTCTACCCTACATTATCATGCAGGATACCTGCAGCGCAAGTGAGAGGTTGATCTGTGGCATCCACTTACTTACTACCACTATAAACTTGACCTCACAGGCCGATCATCTTTAAACTCAAGTCATTTTTTTAAGTGTTCCAACTTGAGACTGCTGCTGCATAATGGGATGTTTCTTTACACAACTGTAAAAGTGCGCTTTAGAGATGTCAAAATGAAAGCAAATATTTTTAAGGGTTCTGCGTTTTATCAATTTTATAGCTTAGTTTTAATATTATTGATGAAAATGATATAATGATATGATATGAAATGATATTATAATATTAACTATAGTGTAGACTATTGTAGGACTGTGCAGTGTCTAACTAAACATTTTTTTAGGTTACTCCTAATATTTATCCTAACTGAAAAACTAAAGTGAAAGTGACTGTCAGTTGTGTCACTGCTAAAATTAATTTAACAGAAAACTTTTTCTGAGTTTTTCCCTTTAAAGCTCAAGAGAGTTGTATTTAAAGAATTAGTTAACCAAAACATGTAATGAATTAGGCGGCTGGACCTTCATGCCATCTACTAGTCCAGCCTCCGCCGCCACGTGTACACTTTAAAGGCTATAAACGGTGCACCTGAACTTACACGGAAAACCAGCTCTCTGGACTATTGCTTTAATTTCACATTTTTCATACTTTATTGTATTTTCATATTAAAAAATGTTATAATAAAAGATTAGTAATTAATGACAGAATGAATTTTCAGTTTTGAGTAAACAAAACCACTGCAACTGCAACACCAGCGGTCTTCCCACTGCAGTTATAAAAATTTTCACTGTCACAGCCCTGTATAAACATGTACGAAACTGTGAAAAATATTCAGGAACAGTGGTGCTTTTTAAATCAGAGAGTCACTTGTCTTTCAATACAGCTAAAGGACAGCAAAAAGTGTGCCCAAAAAAGTTCTCCCCCAGTGATTCTTGTATCACCTCTCGTGAAGCGAAAAGCAACCACAGAATTTCTTCCTCTCTCAAGCTCAAAAGAGTATGTGAGAATTTATAGACCTTATCTGTCTGATGAAACCTCTCTAAAGCACCTTGACTCTCTGGATGATAAGCAGTGGAGATGTTATGTTTAATGGCGAGTCGTTTAAGCTCTTGAGAAAACGTTTGAGATGTAAAATTTGTTCCATGATCACTCTGAACCAAAGACCGTGAAAAACTTAACCAGTGTTTTGGTGATTGCTCTAGCAGTTAAAAAATGTAAAGGATTGGCCTCAGGAAAATGTGTAGTTGCGCACATAATCGTAAACAGGTACTTATTGCAGATTTTGAATGTGGAAGAGGTCCTACACACTCAAATGAAATATGTTCAAATGCCTCAGAAACCATCGGAATTAGATAAAAGTGGTGCAAGTTGAAGTTTTTGGTTGGGTTTCCCAACCACTTGACAAATGTGTCAAGTCTTACAAAATTGTGAGACCTCCTGTTTTAAATCAGGCCAATTTAACTTTCGCAAAATTCAGTCGTACATGTTTAAAACACCTAAATGATCAGCTGCACTGTTGTGTGCAAAGTCTAAAATCATGTCTTAATAAACTACTGGAATTACGATTTGGTTTAGTACATTCCAGTTTTCAGTAGGACTTGAGGAAACCCACTTTCTCATTAGAATTCTTCAGCTCTAGTCAAGCCAATTCAAAAAGTAAGGCAAGAGTAGAATTAGATTTTTGATCATCAGTTAACATCTTGGGACACAAAGACAAGTCAGTTGGGATGTAATCGGTACAAATATGTGACAATTTAAACCCATTGAAATGTTGAATGAAACGCGATACATGTTTTGAGCAGAGGGGGCGCTGTGTTTACAGGCATAATTCTTGCTTTACCTGCAAATAAGAGGGTCAATTGACCACCTATGTACACCCTGCTCTCTGGTTTAGGAAAAGCTTACCTCTCCACACTAGCCATCTCAGTTTTTATCAGCAGGGGACACTGTAAAAGTGCAAAGATCTCAGCTTATGCCAGAAAACATAAATATGCTGATATCTCTTTTTAAAAATGTAAAATCCCAGCACAGTCACAGTTTTAGTTTGTTTATATTATTGAGCCTTCTTTAGTTTGTATTCCTTTATTTTATTTTTTTGGAATCTGAAAATACATTATATTTTGCAAAATTGTGAAGCATTTCAGAAAAAAATTAAAGGACTCTTTACCTTAAATTTGTTTCAAAAAATTTTGTTAAAAATCATGACTAAATCGTGAATCGTATCGAATCGTGAGTCAGGTGAATCATTACTTCTCTATAAGTCAGCACAGCCTATAGCATCCTTCTTAGTACTGAATCAGATCTGCCTTTTCCTGTAGAGGGACAAAGAACAAATCAATGGTGTTAGGATTCGCAACAAATCTGTCACAAAAAATCTACGTTATCAGAAATCTCAGCAGATTTATTTATGGAAAGAGTAACCGCGCACACAGTGAAAACAGTGCACAGTCATCAGTACCAGCGACAAGTGGTAAAAACAAATTTAGGTGACTTGTTAAAAAATCACTCCGTACACTACCTTCTGCCAAATCCTTGCCTAGAGTGAATGTTACATCAGCAATATGAAGAGAAGAATGAACACCAACGATCACGTCACCACTCACTAATTCAGACTGTAGATTGATTTTAAGCAACAGAACATTAGCAATTCCCATCTCAAGTGCACTCACTAAAACTGCACTACCAATGCCACATTGTCTGGTCACTGAACTGGCTCGAGGGCCTATACCATCAGGATAACAGAGCACTAATTGATTTTGACTATTTTGACCAATACTTTGGCCACAGATGTTCGGGTACCCGTCACCCAACTTGGTAAATGATTTAATCAGCTAACCATGGGGCCTTACAGGATTTTCAGCGGGAACCACCTCACGAGACTTTAGAATGACTCCCTGGTCTTGCGTTAGTCATATGGGACATCCTGCTAGGAGACAAAGAGATCTCTGGAAATTAATGTATACGAATGAAAGACAATCTCTCGTGTATCGACGATAGGGAAAGAATTGCCAAGAGCTGAAACCTATGACGATTTTACAGACGATATTTAGCTCGTTTCGCATTAATGTAGAACTATTACATGTTTTAATTACATTATTAAATAAAATGAATAGTATTTTTATTTTTAATCATCAACATTAATAATAAATGAACTACAAATAATTTGACAGCTTCAGCTGTTCACATCAACATCACTTGACCGACACTTTCCGCTCTCTTGCGCTCTGTTTCTCTCTCACCTCTCATAGCAAATAAGTTTGCAACTTTTGTTGCATAAAAATAATAAGCTAAATAACAAAACTGTTTAAATTTTTAAATAAAATTGAATTAACAAACAAGTTAAATAAAACGATAAAAAAACAACTGAAAATGAAAGAACTAAGAGCTGAAACCAGCTTAAATGTTCTGCAATAAAATGTGTTGCGGTAATTTAATAAACAATCGTTTGTAATTTAGGACTCCTTTGTGACAGTACTACCGGAAGATTCTCTTTTTACAAAAAAAGTTATTTATCTTTTATATCCGGTATTAATAGCCTATTTAAGTTTTAAGGTGGCCTACACCTATTTTCAGTGCATGCATTGACTGCTCCTTCAAATATACGAAATACACATGAGATATTGTTTTGTGTTTAATTCGATGGTATGATAAACATGGACATGCGCATTCTTCAGAAAAAACCCTATTTATTTAATTTAAAAATATGTTAGAGCTATACTTATTTATAGGCTATTAAAATAGGCTATATTTTATTTATTTATTTAAACTAGCCTATATTATAGTCAATTACAATCTATATTTTACCATTCGTTTTGCCTTTAACGAATTATTGAACAGATTATTAATAACTTATCAAAGAATATTTTACTGAGCTCAGTGAAAAGTTTTGTATAGATCAAATATGCTATTTAATACAAAAGGCTATTGCCAAAATGAAACTCTTATTTAAAAAAAAACAATAAACACATATGCCAAGAGCAACATTGTGTTAGATGTCAGCAAATACAAATGTGACACTGTTGATGATCACTTTAGTGATGATTAGACCTGAAGCTACGATTCGCTTTACTGAACAAAAACATGGAAAACTCGTGCAGGTGGCGAGTCCTCCATCCGCCTCCAGTCTGAAAGGACCCTAATGCATCCTTGTTTCTTCCGTGCCGTGCGTAGATAAATATAATTTCATTTGCTTTCATCCATGTATATTATATCCATTTTGCTGCAGTTTTGCAGGCCGCGGATAATGGAAAGAACCTGAAGTCACAATCAAATCCTGTCCTGCGCTGCACTGTTGCATTGAGTCTTGTTTGAAATAATTTTGGTCTCAGCACCTATTCAGCTGTAAGAGCGGTGTACATGAAAAACTAGAAGTACAAACAGTATTTGTCTTGTAACATTTGAAGTAAGATAGTTACAAGCTTACAAGAGATTTTACCACGTGAAATCAACATTCATTCATTCATTCATTTATTCATTCATTTTCTTTTCGGCTTAGTTCCTTTATTAATCTGGGGTCGCCACAGCGGAATGAACCAACAACTTATCCAGCACGTTTTTACGCAGCGGATGCCCTTCCAGCCGCAACACATCACTGGGAAACATCCACAAACACTCAAACACTACGAACAATTCTGCCTACCCAATTAATCAACAATTAGGCAACAGCACTACCTACTGTGCCACTGCTTCGCCTGAAATCAACATGCAGTCTGTTAATGATTGACCCTTACTTCGATGGTACAGGGCATGGCCCCGCCCTTCATGGCAACTGTTTATTGGAAGATGGACCAAACCAGGTCACTTAAAAGCACCCTGCAACAAGAAAACATTACTTTTTGCATTAGCTGGCTCACGCTCGCTGTTGCTCTTTGCTTCCTCTCGCCTGTCCAGACACTGCGCCGCCATGCGATTGGGTCATCACAAACTTTCAATGCAAACCTCTTAAGTTTCCGGAATGCCGAAACCACACGAACTTCTGCAAATCGACTCTCAGTAGTCCGTCAACTAGATAACCTAGGACGACAGCCACTCACAAGCAAAGGAATCCCAAAGACGTCACCGAAGCGAGTCACCGCGCCCTGAGGCCAGCCTGGCAAGGGAAACTCGACTTCCGCAAATGCACAAGTAACAAACAAACGCTGTCTCTTGCTGATCTGGTGCAGATTGATCTTAAGCAGTTAAAGATAAGCCAAAACCCTGCTCTTGTGGTTTCTCAGGTCTGATTTTTAAGATCTAGTAAGAAGTACTAGAATTCATTTGTGGCAGCTGTCAACTTATTTTGCATCCTCTGAACTGCCTTTGTGTGTATGTGTGAATGTGTGTGTGTGCGTTTGTTTGTTGTTTGCTTATTACGTAGTTAGTTTCATGTATCAAAGTGTAGCTCAATAAATCTTTGTTCTCATTTTGTAAGAACTGTGTTCGTGTTTATGCACTTCTAAGTCATATCCTCGAGCTGTAGATTTTGTTTCCTTGCTAAAAGTTAACCCAATACTGTGTTATGTTATTATTGTTGAAAAAGGAAATAATATAAACGAGATTGGTAAGATACAATGTCTTCTATTTGCTGGACAAATGGTAGATAAAGTGTGAATCTTTTGATCTGATTGAATCCGATTCATTGAAATAAGCTAAGAAATCCCTGATCGATCTTTTAATGTAGGTTGATCCCCTACAATAGTGAAAACGTTGTTGATAGTGATGTTAGGGGCTCGAGACGACTTTAAATGCTAAAATCATGAACACCATACACAGACTCAATTACTAGATCAGCAGCAAGTGGCTCTGAAGCGTAATAACTACAAAAACAAGAAAGGCAAACAAGTTGCAGGTCCACAACCTACCCAACAACTAGTATAAATAGGGCAAATACTTGCTTAGGATGCAAGAAGTCACTCACACAAAAGCAAATCCAGATGAATCACGAAAAGAACGGTGTGGCCACTTCTTTCCACACTAAACAGCTGAAACATAATCAAACAATTTAGAAATAGTCCTCAATTATGTTACAGCCACAGTCATAACACAAATAAAGGTAAACCAAAAGGGATCAGTCTATGGTTATTTATTAAAATAAGAAATTTATAACAAAGTATGGAAGGAATCAAAATAAAACTAAGGCTGATCACAAATAAAAGAACAACTCAAAGAAAGTAATCAAAAACTGTTGAGGGCAACAAAATAGCAAAAATAAAAAATCAAATACATGGACATGTAACAATGACCAATATGATCAGTCTGGATTGGTCAAGAGACCCGAAAGTCAGCAGACTTTACTAAGTTACCATATGCAAAAAACAATTAATTACTGTACATGGGCTACCATCTCTCTCATGACTTCGATCTTACTACTTTAAAAAAAAAGAGAATTGTCTACCTTTGACTCCTCTGGGCAAACAAATTGCCACTTCAAGCCATTGAACAAGAAGTGCAGTCAGGCTGGATACAGAAATCCAACTTGACTTCAGAGATTCCCCAGCAGCTGTGGACGCACTTCCCCAAATGCTGCACAGACGTGAGCTACCTTTGAGGTCAGGTCAGAAAAAGAAGAATCAGACATGTCTTTTTTTTTAATCATAGTGACATTGCCACATCGCCCTGTACTGTGGCCACAGTATTAGAAAAAATTAGTTTTTACAGCTTGCAGCTCACATGTAATTGTTGACAGATCGTCAGCCAGTACAGTTTGCAACTCGGGGCACAGAATCCTTGCAATATCATTGCATAGAGAAGATAAAAGTTCAGCTTTAAGAGCTGTGTTGTCGACTGGGAGCTCAATATGCACCTCTGGGCTATCAGGGCTGAGGCAAAGCGAGCCCATCAGAAAGTACAGGCTGCTGATGAGACTATGATGGATTAGCAGCTTTACTGGGTTTGTTCTTAATATTTCAACATATAAACAAGTTAGTTTTTATGGACATTAAGTAAACAACGCTTGTAGGCTTGTTGGAGGGAACAAAAAAGGCTAAAGACTGAAATATTGATATGCACGCTGCAGGAGAAACTGAAAACGCGACTTACATCTTAGCTCCTCAAACCAGAAGTCTTAAATAGTCTTATAATTACTATAAGTAAACACATTTAGACTAAAGATATGTGAGGAAAAATCTTTACGGACTTATAATTCTAGCCGTATTTGGTGTACCCAATAATACATCAGCAGTTTTGGTTCAAGAGGATGGGCATGCTGATATCTCTAGGGAGTATTTGAGATCTTTATGACTACTGGAGACTCTTTCAGACAGAGTTGAGGAGGCAGTATGAGATGCTGGACACCTGAGAGAGAATACAAGTATACATCTTACCAAACCAACCGGAGATAGGCTCTTTTGAGGAAGAGAGGACAATGATCTCTGTAGGACACCTTACTCTTTATCTTTTCATGGAGGATCGATGTAGGACAAAGTTTTTCAGAATTTCATCTTCTTCAGCGTTCCTATAGTGCAGAGGTAAAGACTCCAGATTCCTCCAGAGTGGAAACTGAAAAATAAAATATACTGTATTACTGCTTTTCTTGTACTATTGTGCTATTTTGCATTCTGGGTCTCTTGCAGCTAAAAGAATGTATACAATTGTTAATGTTGCTAATCTATGTACATAACTGGAAAAAAGTTTAGTCTTTAATGTTATTGGTAGATGTCTCTTCTGCCCACATCATTACAGTAAAACAGAAAAGAAATAATAAGTTAATAACTGCTTTCTGCTTCAAAGCTGTACTTCTAACATCATGGCATAAGTCCTGTTCAATGTCACATGATCCTCCAGAAATCACTCTTAATAAGCTGAACATAGTTTTGTTAATTATTACCATATATTAATTAATTTAATCCATTTTAATTAATTGTATTATTTTTATTTTCATGTTTCTTTTATTCTTGTTCATGTAAAGAACTTTGAATTACCATTGTGTATGAAATGTGCTGTATAAATAAACTTGCCTTGTCTACCCGTTTAAGCTAAAAGAGATGTTTTTTCGGGATGCTATTAAAATGTTTTTAAAATCAATAAAATTCCTAAAACTCATTGGCCAAATTATATACTGTATTTGCTTTTATTTTATAACAATTGCATGATTTTTTTCTATTAATACGCTGTTGTCGTTGACACACACAAGGCACTTTATTTTTTACTTATTTTGGTATTGTTTATAAATGCCTCTTCAAAGTTTTTTTTAAACTAAAATAAATTTAACAAAATCTCATTTTAAACCATTATGTTATTTGTGCAGACCATTTCAGACAAAACTGGCTAATTAGAAGGCAACGCTAAGCTACACTGTAAGCTGTTTGCCTCTCTTGCCACTGTTACCACATCACAATACAGAACATTACCCTTTTTAGATATTGTCTTTAAAAGGTAAAGTGTAAAAAAAATACTGCACAACCAGATAATTATTAACTCTTAAGATTACATTTAGCTCTGCGGAGTGGAAAAAAATCCTCAGATCTCATTAGTAACTCATTGAAAGGTAGATTTTTACCAAAAGGTGAGCTGTCTGCATTGATTTTATTAATGACACTGACACAAACCAACAGGTACACCAAACTTCAAAATGTTACTATACAACAGACTATTAATCAGCACAGCTGTGTTTATAAATGACAAACAAAAATTATATTTCTTTGTCGTCGTATCCACTTTTTTACTGATTTGTTAAAGGGGTGGTCCAGAATGTAATTTTAAGGCTTGGTTGTGTTTATAAGATGCAAAGCAATGTGTGCTCATGTTTCACTTGAAGGAAATCGCGTTATTTTTTCATATATCTCACTTTGATTATACACAGCTACTCAGCTAACATAAAAACGACTGATATATTTCCTAGTTCCTCTGAAAGGCCCGCCCTCAAGTGACTCTGATTGGTCATCGTCATAATGTGCTGCGATTTGCGGATCGGCTCCACATCACGCCCGTACAAGCACACGCTTTTCTGCTGTGTAAACCTCAATCAACCTCCTCCCTGCTCACTAAAATAAAACCTGACAAGTCTCTGTAACAAGTGAAAATGGGGTGCGGCTCCTTTAAGAGCGTTTGGCATTGTGTGTGCGTGAATGTGTGAACTTTCTGCAACAAGCGCATGTGCACTGGAGTTTTTTTTCTTTTTCTCTGATGCTCGGATTAAGTTATTTTCTGTAATATATCGTGAAAGAAGAATAAAGCACAAGATGTGGGATGCGACCTGTGTGAGCCTTGATTTATTTCTTAGCTGCTACCACGAGTTATTTGAGCTACCCTGTCTTTTTTTTAACTCAACATGTTACACAACGTCTTTCACATGTATCCAGAATATGTAGGTGTAAGTCACATGAATCATCCACATATCTTTTACGACTACATTATCTGAGATGTGAGAAGCTGCCTAAAGACAATCAATGCAGTCGCACACATACATAGACACGAACGTGCTGGTGAAGTGTGTGTGTGTTTACAGCAGTTTGGCTGATAAATATGAAATTGTAGCTAAATTGTCTGCGGTGCAAAGCAGCATTTCCCATTGTTTACATCGTTGCTACAGCTTACCGTTAATGCTAGACACTGTACATGTCATGATCAATTTTAACAAATAAAAACACTTATAGGTTGAAGTTCACAGCTTCTGCTTTGAGGAGATTTTAACCGAATCCAGCACTTAACTAGGAGAGATTCTGGAGCTGTATTGTCAAATAATGCTTGCTATGTATTTTATAATTCTCTGGAACATAATTAATATTGAACTGTAAGCACTTCTGTCTTTGTGTCATGTCCTTTGGAAACCCAAATACAGAAACAGACGAAGCTCTGTGGAAAAAGCACTGTTTGGACGCATTTTTATCTATATATATGAGCTATATCACACGAGTAGCAGGAGCAGATATTCCTACTGGCCTTTATGCGTTTGTCCCAAGTGCTGTCGACTACACACATGCCAGTCAATGACAATGAGTAGGCAAAAGAAAAAGAAAAACACACTCAAACATCTGTCGCAAAATAAAATGTTACATTATTAAAATAAAAGAATGATACAGCAGTAGAGCGACCATCACACACTTCTCAGAGCTCCCCAGAACTGAACTGAACTCCCATACTTGCGTGCTTACATCTCAAAGGTAAAACTACCACAAAAGAAGTCCTCTTATAGGGGACATTTATACACAAGGCATATCAAACATTAAATGACTGTTACAATATCACAATAATTAACCTTGAAAAAAGCAGCGCAATCACTACCAGACTGCTGTTGTGTTTGCGATAAGGAAGAACGAGGCTGAATCAGCCTAATTCACAACTTCTTATTGATTCTATCCAGTCCACCTTAAAAACTGCAACACTTCCGATTTTCAGCTTTGCACTCAAGAAAACTCACAACAGTTTTAATCGAAGCAAGGGCTTATTATGTGGCCCTGGTGCTCTCTTGTGGATAGACAACCGTCTTTGTCTACTACACTATGGCAGGCTGATGGCTGCCAACGAGCTCTCTCAGAAATTGTGAATAATTTAAAATAGGCACTATTCTTACAAATAAACTGCATAGTTGCAATCTAAACAACTACATTCTTTACTAATAAAGCCTCAAAAGTACATTTTGTTGTGATGTTACTGGCAAAATATTGCACGGCCAATCAGATTCAAGAACCAGACAGAACTGCTGTATAAATATAATAATAAATAATATATATATATATATATATATATATATATATATATATATATATATATATATATATATATAAAATTCTTTATATATATATATATATATATATATATATATATATATATATATATATAAAGAATTTTAAATAATGTATTTTAAAATGTTTGACTAATATGGTAGGGTTGTATACTAAACTAACAGTATTACACTGTATTGTTTCAACGGGTAAGCCATTTAAGTTCTGAATGAGCCAAATAGGCTCAACGCATCTGTTTACTGTAGCACAAATCACTTTCTATATTCAATTATTTTTTCCCATGTATTAAATAAATAAAATATGTACAGGCTATTTTACTAATTTTACTATCATAATAAGTCATAATTGGAAAAAATATGATACAACACAAGATGTCTGACTGATCTCACTCTGATATGCAGTTAAAATAAGAACATTCACTGAGTGGTTCTGTCATTAGCTATGATTCCATCCACCTATTTATATGCACATTTTGCATATGCGCATAAAAAATGGTTGATAGAAACGCCAAGATGTGCATAAATTTTGAAAATGGGCATAAAAAACCTATGCGCATAACTGAGTGGGATAAACTTTTTATTCAATAAGAAAAGATGCGCAAAAACTACGATGGAAACACTTTTACCGCACAAACTCCAGCATAAGAGATCATGTGTTGATAAATAAAATGTGTGTGAATGGATAAACCTGCAGGCTGAGCACATTATAAAACATCTGAAATGTTGTTTTGGTCATTCTTAAACGCCTTACCGTTTCAGTATTAGTGTTATTATATTATTAATGACCTCCCGAATCAAGAGCGCCTGTGCTCTGCGCCTGACACCTTCAAACGCCACCGCGCGTTCACTACATGTCAGGATTGCCTTCTGAGGTACAGTAATTTATTAGATGAAGAAAAAATTGATGCTGCTTCTCCTACTGAAGCAAATTTTGTTTTTACTGTTTATATTTGGTGCCAGTTAATCAAGAAGTGACGATTTTGTTCGCTTTGACTCATTAGATGGAAACGCAGCTTTATTCGCACGTTTTTCATGCAATAATCCAGTTTTGTGCATAAAGTTCATTCACATACTTTGGATGGAAACAAAGCTACTGTGTTTAATCCTGTGCAAGTCAACACCACAGTCTACCTGAGTATTGCTGCAGACCAAGTCTATCCCTTTATGACTACAGTGTACCCATCTTCTGATGGCTTTTTCCGGAAGAATAACGCATCAATGTCATAAAGCGAGAATCATCTCAGACTGGTTTCTTGAACATGACAATGAGTTCACTGTACTCAAATGGCCTCTACAGTTACCAGACCTCAATCCAACAGTGCACCTTTGGGATGTGATGGAACAGGAGATTTGCATCATGGATGTGTAGCTGACAAATCTGTGGCAACTGCGTGATGCTATCAAGTCAATTTAGAGCAAAATCTCTGAAGAATATTTCCAGTACCTTGTTTAATCTATGCCACAAAGGATTAAGGCAGTCCGAAAGGCAAAAGGGGGTCCAATCAGGTACTAGTAAGGGTCCGTGTGCGTATACCTAATAAAACAGCCAGTGAGTGTACTATACAACTGACTTTTACTTAACTTCAGTGATTTAATTCAGTGATGAGTAATGAGGACACAAAGCACAGTTGTATTTCTCTATTACTAAACACAGAGACTCATCAGCTCTATGAACTAAACTTAGCGTGTTTGTAAAATAAGACATGCAGAATGTACATAGCTGTGAATCTCAGGACCAGGAATGAAAAACACTGTCCTAAAGGTATTCACTCAGCTATCAGTAATCAAGTTCAACTCTGTAGATTACCTGACTCTTAGTGCTGCCCGTACGGCTGGATACTGCTCACAAATCATTCAATAAAGACAAAGGAAGTCCCAGCATTTCATCACATCCAGGACAACAGAGAGGCCTGAAAGATATATATTGGATTTATAAAAAGTTTTAATTAATTTAGCTTTGCCTAAATTAAACTAAAATAAGGAGACTCACCAGTCGCCATAAAGCAAACTTTTGTGATGGCCAATCGCTTGATCCTGTATCACTTGAGTTTGGATAAATGGTTGTATAAATGGTATGGTACTAAAAAAATGATGCATAAATACTGAGAACAGCAC